TTTGTGTAACTTAACTTCTATTGTGTGCAACTTAACTTCGTTTGTATGCAATTTATCTTCCCTTATATGTAATAATCTTCCTTTCTATGATGTGTAACTTAATTTCCTTTTGTGTTATTAAAATTCTCTTATATGCAAGTCATCTTCTCCATGTGCAAACTAATCCCTTATATTCAAATAGTTTTGTGCAAACCATCTTCCTTTTATGCAATTTACCCTCTTTTGTATGCAACTAATCTTTCCCTGTGTAATTAATCAGTCTAGGGACCATTTACTAATTAAAATTTTAATGAAGAATTTATCCCCAATTTTTCTCTATTATTTTACCTAATCATATCTTGGCTGCTAATTTATTAAATTAAACAATTTTAATTTTCTCTGTCCCAAAAAAGGGAAAAAATTATTTAATTAAAGGCTTGTGGGGTCCTCAATATTCCCACATGTTATCTCAAGTCTTTCTTTGCATTATTGCATTTAGGGGTGTTCATGGGACGGATCGGGACCGGGACAGGCCCGTCCCGGTTCCGTCCCGGTGAACAGTAACGGGACAAATTTTCTGTCCCGTGTCCCGGTCCGTCCCGGGGTTGTCCCGGTCCCGGTCGGGACGGGACGGGACCGGGACGTCCCGAAATATATTTTTTTAATTTTTTTTAATTTTTTAATATTTTTTTATTTTTTTTTATTTTTTTTAAAAAAATTTGATTTTTTTAATTATATTTTTTTGAGCTTAAATCTTATAAAAACATCTTTTTTATTTTTTTGAGCACTCTTAAACAAAAGCTCAAAATATTACATATAATAGTTACTAAAAACTCTAAACAAAAGCTTTTAACACAATAAAAACTTGCTAAAAATTCTAATAATCAATAATCTCAAATCATTAACAAATATAAAAACTCTAAATAAATATATCCATAGTTCCATACAATAGTCTCAAATCTTAAAAAAATATGAAAAAAATGATATTATATAAAAAATTAAAAAAATTAAATTTTTTTTTTAAAAAAAGGGACCGGGACGGGACGACCCCGTCCCGTGTCCGGTCCCTTTTTTGTCCCGTCCCGGTTTGTCCCGTCCCGAAATTTTTCGGGACGGATCCGTCTCGTCCCAATAAGACCGGGACCGAAACGGGCCAACCGGGACGGGCCGGCCTTGAGCACCCCTAATTGCATTCCAAGGGAATCTGGATGATCAACTTTCCCCCGGCATCCTGCAGCTCTATGGGAATATCTCCTTCCACCTGCCTTCAGTCCTAATTATAAAATATATATATATAACTTTTTGAATTTGACCCCTTTTACTAAAATTAATGGCTACAATGAAGTGCCTTATTATAATTAGAAGCATATCAATTTTCATGAAAAATAATGAAAGTAGCATCAAACGAACGAGGAGTAAGATTGAATAATATATAAACACACATAAAACTCTATATCTTTCCACTCTGCACGCTCAATTCACTAAGACTTTTATCCCAGCTCGGCGGGTGGGTCTTGTAAGCTCCGTTCTGCCTTTACGCTTGAGGGCCGATCTAAGACCATCCCTTGCTTTGTATTACATTTGGATCAAGCTGTCATGCTTAATAATTAGGATCAGATAAAATATTATCCTTATTTTTTTAGTCTTAAAAAAATGATAGAAAATCGTTTGAAATTATTTGGTCACATTAAAAAAGGCTTTGAAATGCGTCATGTGAAGAGGATACAGTATTGAGTCCTAAAAAAAGGGTAAAAGAAGACTAAAGAGATCTTTTGATTAATTAACAATTTTTTCAAAAATTTAACCGTTAATAGAGTTCAAAAATTTAATAGAGTTCAATAATATCATGCAATTCATGTAACTGACTCCACTTAGTGTGCTAAGGTTATGCTGTTGCTGTATTCTTTTATTCTTATATAATTTCACTAAAATATCACTGTTTGGAGAATTTTTCAATCAAGGACTAAATTTCGAAATATTTTTGTAAGATTAAGAGATTTTAAATTAAAATTAAGTTCTATTAGTTAACTAACAAAATAATTTCACTTAGTTATACTACCTCCGGTCCTAATTATAAGAGTCAGTTGACTAATTTGAGGAGATTAAGGAAGTAAGTTGGGTTATTTATTTGTCCTAAATAAGTGTTGTCTTTTCCAAAATATCCTTACTAATCAAGTATTAACTAGAACTATCATTATTAGAAGGGCTACTTTGAAAAAAAATGTATAAATATGAGTGACAAAGTAGATTGGGATCTTATATTTAGGATCAAAATAAAAGTCAAATATAGTATTATATTAAGGACCGGAGGTAGTATTTTTTTAAAAGGTTCTATCCATCCACCACTGTAGCCAATGCAACCATGAGCAACCACAAAAATGCTTCAATTCGTCAGAGTATGGCTTAAACTCATGATTCCTTAATTCATCACAAAATATTTGTGCTTCTCGAGATACTAATGCATTTTGATTATATGATAAAAAATAGCGTTAATATTATTTTGAGTCCATGAAATTTGAATTTATTTATTTTTTATTCCTGAAATTTAAAACTAGTGATTTTGGTTCCTAAAACAAGGTCCGGAGACTAAAAACACAATACAGGGACAAAAAATCTTTAGACTGATCAAAATGAAATCAAATTTCAAAAATCAAAAACTACTAATTTTAAATTTTAATAACTAAAATCAAAATAAAGTTAAATATTATATGTGTGCTTATTAAACACAATTTCCAAGCCATTAAAAAAAGTTGTGAATATCATAAGCATAATTTTCAGTTTCCCCTAATGAAACTGTCAAATTCCATGGGATATTTGTACACATCAACGTGAATTTATTATTATTAATTTGAAATTGAATTGTTTTTTTGAAATGTGATAATTGAAAAATTATTTTTATTTTAAATTTTGCACCTATTACCTGATAAAATATTAGACATATAATATGTGAGACAGGATGTTCACCGAAATCAGTTTGAAAATATTAGGAAATTAGTTGAAAATCTTAAAAACTTTGTTATCAATATAGAAAGATTTGTAAATCAATTATAAATTATGAATCGAATTCAAATACTTAACAAATTGATTTGTAACTTATCCTTTTGAGATTTATGGTTGAACTTCTAATATTTAGAACCAATCCATAATTTTCAATTGTTTTGGTACTAATCTTCCTGTATTAAAGTTTCAAAATTTACAATTGAATTTTTAAGATTTAGAAAATTTTCACAATTTATAGCTGCTTTTCAGGATTTAGAACATGATCAAATGAATTTACATACTATTTGCCAAGTATGTAAAGGCTTTTTCGTCCACTTTTTTTTCCCCATAAAAGACAAAAGATTGCTTGTTCTTAATCTTAATTCCATATATTTGAGGTAAGATAATTAATTTTCCTGCATTATCTTTATGTAAGATTCTCCTAACAGAAACAAACAATTTGCATTATAAGGCTTGTCTGGTCCTCACTCCTCAATACTCCTCCATGATCCTTTTGCGTCATTCTACCAACAACATCCACATAAAAATAAATAAATAAATAAATAATATAAGGCTTGTGGGGTCCTCAATATTCCCACCATGTTGTCTGAAGTCGTTTGGTTCATTATTGCATTCAAAGGGAATATGAATCGGCTTACTTGAGGCATGGATTATATGAGAATATGTCCTTCCATGGTATTCACTCACGTACATTAAAATACTTAAAATTAATTAAAAACAATAAGTGTGTAAAAGATGTCATTTTGTTTTTAAGTATATCCTTATTTATAAAGAGGACGAATGAAGGAGAATAAGTGAAAGAGATGAAAAAAAGTGAGTAGGTAAAAACAATGAGAGACATTTGCGGGTAAAAATGAAAGAAAATGCATTAAATTTTTAGATAAATACAAGATACTACCTACGATCTTTAATATAAGAACTGAATGATTAATTTGAGAAGATTTTTTTGGGTCATATATTTAAGAAAATTAAAAAAAATTAGTTAAAGTTAATTATTTATAACAAATATGTGTTTGCTTCTTTAAATTACTCTTATACAATTATATACATTGTACTACATTTGGATGAAAATACCTTACAATTAACAGAGATATTTTTTAGAATATCTTATAAATTTGAGGGACACAGTAAATTAAAATCTTATATTTAGGATCACCAACTAGCTTTAATATTTAATACCAGAGGTTTTGATTCAGAAAGAGTATTATGTCTTCTCTTTGGACAGATCAATACCAAGTTCATTGAATGTATTTTCCGAACATATATCAAGCACTAGTATTCATAATAGCTGAGTTTTTGGCCATTACTAGGTCACAATAACACGGTTACAAGGACATTTACATCCAGCTAAAATGGCCACTGTGCATTTGCAAGACAAGCCTACAGTTTTTTTTTTCCCCAGATAACCAGCTGACATTATGCAAATTTGACATTCATATTTATCATTGATTCCTGACATACCTAAGAAAAACCTGACATCCAAAAGATGCAAACAATTTCTTTGTGTGCAACAAACAAAATGCCACAGAAAATAGAGGGGATCTCATTGCACTCTAAACCAAAAGCTAACTTTTCCCTCCATATAGAGAGCTGCATAGGGAGAGAAGTGTGAGAGATCAGAGATCTGAGACAATTATTACCATTGCCATTACAGTGACAAGCAACCATAGCAGTTTCTTTCTTCAGCAACCACAGGTAACAGCAAGCAAGAGTTATCTAACTGTGATTAAAGACTTCTAAGATGCCTTCCAAGATGAACTCAAAACAATTTTATTTATTCATGCATTTGGATAACCTCAACAGAGACCCACCTCTCTATTTTTACGCCCATCATTTAAAATGGCTCATGTAATGTCATTTTCTGGGCAGTAAGATAACAATCTGATTATAAACACCTGAAAATGTAATGCTTGTAAATCAGATGACGAACCTAAAGTATCTTACATAAATAGCAAACAATGTGGATATGTAGAGTCCAACATGTTGTACATCATATTCTGGAGTTCCCAACTCTTAAAATCAAAAATCCACAGCAACAGGCTGGAGAGACGGGGACATGCTCCAAAATTATCATCCACTAGTGATGTTTTGATTCAAAAAGCTTTCAAATTATATGACATAATCTGACCACTCAGAGATGAAGGAAGTGTGATCCATGGATTCCCCAGGCACATCCTCATGCTTGGCCGGCTTCTCCTTTCCACCCACCAGCCTCGCCGGATTCCCAACCGCTGTAGTCCGGGGCGGCACATCGATCAAGACAACAGACCCAGCACCGATTTTTGCACCTTCTCCAATCTTGATATTCCCTAGAATGGTTGCTCCGGCTCCAATAAGAACTCCATCTCCAATCTTTGGATGCCGATCCCCACTAACTTTCCCTGTCCCTCCCAGAGTCACATGATGCAGAATCGACACATTATTCCCGATCACCGCCGTCTCACCCACTACCACGCCCGTAGCATGATCCAACAATATCCCTTTCCCAATCTTCGCCGCAGGGTGTATATCCACCGCAAACACATCCGCAATACGAGAGTGCAGTGCCAGAGCTAATGGCCTCCGAGATTGCTGCCACAACCTGTTCGCCACACGCTGTGCCTGCAAAGTAAAAATTTCCCTTCAGGTGAAAAGGAACAAAAAAGGAAGAAAATCCAAAAAAAAAAAAAAAAACAGAGAAATCCGATGCGCAAAGCGTTAGCTCGATTAATTAAGAAGAGACGATGCAAATGAAACACCCTAACATTTAATTGATAACAGCAGAGCAATACGAGAAGGTACAAATCCTCCCGGGAAAATAATCCAGACAAAATGCGCGATACACACACGCGCCTCACGAGGATAACGACAACAAATCGAAGATGAGAAATTGAAATACCTGGACGGCAAGGTAACCTTTGTAGTTGAGGAGGCAGTGGGAGTAGGAAACACAAGCAGGATCGCGTTCGCGGGCAGCGCGAAGGTCGGCGACAGCGGCGGCACGGAGAGAAGGGTCGGAAGCGAAGGCGTGGATGAAGAGATCGTAAAGGAGGGTGGAGAGAAGCGTGGAAGAGCAGAGCTTGTTGCCCAAGTGGAAGGAGAGGGAGCGTTCGAGGGAAGGGTGAGAAAGGATGGTGGAGTAGAGATAGCTAGCTAAGGCCGGCTCTGACTCGGCGTCGCGGCGGGCCTCCGCCTTGATTTGAGCCCAGACCCAGGCCTCATCTTCGTAGGCGGAGGAGGCGTCCATCGGGGATGGTGGCGGTGAGGCGTAGCGGATTTCACCGGCGGGCATTGGGATTGCTCGAGATAGCACGAATTGTATGGTGCGGAGCTACTGAATTATGATCGCCCGTCTCTTCAGTTTAAATGGACTTCCCCACGAACGGAAAATTCAAGATTTTATGAAGTGTGCTCTTTGACAGTATGATTTCTCATTTCCGCGATTCGACTGGAAAAGTTCGTGTCTTTCTAATACTGGTATTTTTTTTAAGGAAAAATTGAGGTTAAATCCGGTAACAAGAAATTAATTAGGAAATATTTTTTTAAGAATTTTATGCCACTTAACTTTTATTTTATTTTGTACATCTTAACTTTTCTTATAAAATTGATAAACTTGGCATCATGATGCTGCACTCCTTTTGGGGAAGTTTTATGCATTTGATCAAATGAACATTGGAGGCAGAGAGCACAGATTTAATGAAAGTGAATCTTATAGCTTGGGAAAGGAGCACCTATGATTTGCCTATAGATTGTAGATTCATCTTTTCCAGAATCAACCCACGTACCAAGCTATTTTCCAAAACACTCAGAAAAACAAATCCTATCACCAAAAAAAAAAAAAACAAAACAAAAGAAAAACCAATAATGAATTTTCTATTTAGTTTCCCCTTGATGTCATTTGGAACATTAGGAGAGACAAGCATGGAAGATTTATCCATAATGATTTTTTATCCAGACCAAAGGCAGTAAGTATTAAGAAACTAATCCACTTCATCAATATTGAATTTATTACATTCAAAGAAGATTATAGAATCATCAACATACAACAAGCTGGAAACAGAAAAGCATCCTTTCATACTTCAATACCATGAAGAACACCTTGGTTTCGTGATGAATGATTAGAAACTAAAAAATGTTGGCTGTTAAAATAAAGTGATATGGCAACAGAGGATCCCTTGTCTAATACCACTACTGGATGAAAAAATCGGCTAGGTGAGTCTCCAGTTGGACGGAATATTATATTGAATTGTACAGACATATTGCACAAGTTAGATCCATTTTAGAGGAAAACGCATTCTGGTCAAAATTGCTTCAATAAAAGTCCAAAAAAGTTTGTCAAAAGCTTTTGACAAGTCCAGTTTCAATGCAAGTTTCTTCTATCCTTTCCTAGCAATGTGTATTTGGTGAACAAGGTCTGTCGCTAACAAGATGCTAGAGATCAATCTACCTTTAAGGAATGTGCTTTGGAAAGGAGAGACAAGTTTAGGGAGAAGAGTCCTCAGCCTATTACAAAACCTAATAGGCACGAGATCCTTAAAAGATTGAGGGTGAGTCCCTTTTGAAATTAGAGTAACGAAAGTTTTATTCAATATTTTAAGCCAAAAAAAAAAACATATTACTAGAAAGATAAAATTAAAGCAATGATATTTTTGAGACATTGTCAAACACTAAGGGCTTGTTTGGCAATATGATGAAACTATGGTTTTGGGATCCAAACCAAGTTTGACAAACAGAGGGAGAAATTAACAAACCGCAGTTTTGAGCCAAAATCATGGTTTTTGGCTCAAAATCATAGTTTCAGATGAAATAAATCCATTTTGCTTCTGATTCAAATTAGAGAACATAATTGTATCTGTTAGAGTAGATTTCAACGATAATATGACTTTAACACCTCTCAATTATTTTTTTATAAACATATTTAATCTTATGTTTTATAAATATATATACACATATTAATTATTTATTAATTACATTATCTTATATATTATTAATTATGTTGATGAAAAATATATTATTAACAATTTTATTACTTCAAATTAAAATATATTATAAAATCTATCTTTTATGTAATTATCATATTAACTTATGTCTTTTTTAGTAATTTATACATATAAAAAGTGCTTTTGATAACAACTATCTAAATACTCTCACTTTATTAGAATCATTTTTTCATAAAATCTATTCTTCACAAAATCTATTCTCCTAAAACTCTATTTTTCAGAAGATATTCTAACTAGGGTTTGGTTTTATCCAAACACCCCTTAAATATGGACACTTATCTCAACAGGGGTTTGAATATTGATTCGTCATATTGTGAGGAACTAACCACCTCTATTAGACTCAAACCTTGCTACTGGCATTTTCTAATCTATTCAACAAATCTTCCTTAAGACTAATTTCTCTATTAATCATGAGTATTAAAATTTGTAGTTGATGCTCAAGCTTAGAAATAGAGGAAGATAGATTACCAATTCGATTCATGATCCAAGATAATAGAGTTTAAAATGAGAGTCAACTTCTTACGTAGCACAAAACCTAGTGAACCCAAAAGATCTTGATTCCAATTTTCAGAATTGATTATAATGAACTTTATTACAAGCCATATTGTTTAGAAATAATAAATAATATGTTTGAATATATACTTATTGTAATATTTTACAATTAGTTAACGCCCTCGAGATTTTATGTCACAAAAGTCACGGTTAATTAACATTAAATTGGAAACAAATCTGACACCTATTGCTTTGCGATCCATGTTTTCTTCCTGGGATAATTAATTTAATAGGAAAATCCCCATAGTTTTATCTGATTTTTAATAAGGATTTTGGAGTTTCTTAATTTTTTATTCTATAAATTCTAATCATATTATTTATAATTGATAATATTCTATAAGAAATAAATTATTGTCATAATTTTATTTTAATAGTCGTTTAAAATTTTGAACTAAACATAAATTTACGTTATTTATTTTATAATTATAGTTTTTATTTGCTTTTGGGGATAATTAATTTTCAGGTCCTTATAGTTTCATGTGATTTTTAATTAGGTCCCTATAAAATTTTTTCTTTTTATCAAGTCTTTTTACTTTCACGTGTTTTTAATTAGGCCTCTCTATTTTTTCTTTTTATCAGATCCTTATAGTTTCACTTATTTTCTAATTAGGTCCTTTATAGTTTTTAAAAAATTATTTATTAACTTTATTCTCCAAAATTAATTTTATTTTTAAATTAATAATTATATAATTGGACAAAATAATTAATATAACAATTTAGTAATTAATAAATCAAAATAATCAATTATACTTAACTATAAATTATTTATAATTATATTCTAATTTAGAAAATTTTATTATTGTATTTGAATTTTATAATTATAAAAATTAGAATTGAAAAATAAATAATATATGTGTTTAACTAAAAATTTAAAAGAATATTAACATAACATTGTTGTAATAATTTATTATTTATAGAATATTATTATTTATGGAATAAAAAATAAAAAATACAAGGACCTAATTAAAAATAAAGTAAAACAATAAGGATCTGATAAAAAAAAAATTATAAAGACATAATTAAAAACATGTGAAAATATAGGGACCTGATAAAAAGAAAAAAATTATAGGGACTTAATTAAAAACTGCTTAAAACTATAAAGATTTACACATTAATTACCCCCTTGTTTTTATAATTGTAAAATTCGAATGATAATAATCAAACTTTCTAACAACAGAATACAATTGTTTAATTTATAATGATTATTCGGATTAATTAAAACCATGGTTATGTGAAAGGTTGAAGGAAACTGATGACAAAACGGTTGCTGAATGGGCCTCCATTGGTAATAGATTTGAGCGTGTGTTCATTGCATACGGTGCATGTGTTGAGGGTTTTTTGAACGGTGCAAGGCCTATATTATATGTTGATGGTACTCATTTAAGTGGTCCATATAAGGGGACATTACTGTCAGCTTCGGCATATGATACGGATGATGCGATGTTGCCGTTTGCAATAGCAGTGGTGAAGGGAGAGAATCTTGATGACTGGACGTGGTTTTTTCACAAGATTAAACAAATAGTTGGTTCAATGCAACTGACTATTGTGTCAGATAGACATAATTCTATAATTGGTGCTGTGCAAGCAATATTTGGGGGTGAAAGGCATGCATACTGTTATAGGCATGTGAAGGAGAACTTTAGCTCTGAATATATGAAATTAAACAGAGGTCGGGAAGGACAAGTGAAAATTCAAAGAAAGATGCATTGAAGGTACTGGATAAAGTGACTTATGCAAGACTTGCGGATGAGTTTGATCATGCGGTGGATGATCTTAGAACCATGTCTCATGAGTTATATGAGTGGGTTATCAATCAAGGTGATGTGGATAGGTGGGCATTGAGCAAGTTCCCATATAGAAGGTGGGACAACATAACAACTAATTTAGCTGAATCTTTTAATGCTTGGATGGTAAGGGAGAGGAAGCATAACGTGGCCCAAATGATCCATGAGCACCGGGAGAAAGTAGCAAGAAAGACGCATGCATCATATGCAGCAATGACTAAGTGGAGTAATTGCGTTAGGCCAAAAATAGAGGCAAAAGTATTGGAGCATGTGTATTTCGGTAGGTACATGCATTGTGAGAATTATGGAAGGGGAAGAATATGTGTGCACACATCACGTGGAGACCAAAGAGTGGACCTTAGCCTACACCAACGTAGCTGTGGAACTTGGCAAATGTTAGGGATTCCATGCTCACATGCTTGTGCAGCCATTAAGACCATAGGGGGAAACGTTTATGATTATGTTGAAGAGTGTTACAAACGTTCATCCCAAGAAAAAATCTATGCCCGGAGCATGGCTCCAGTGGTGATAATTGATATGCCTCACCTGAATGACTATACGTTTGAGAATCTTACTGCTCAACCCTTGCTTTTACCCCTAGTAACTGCTAGGCCTTCTGGAAGACCAAGAAGAAATAGAAAGGAATCACAATTCCACAACAAAAAAATATATCATTACACTAGATGTCTTCATCCTGGACATACAAAGAGGACATGCAAAAATCCTAACCCAAGTTGACTTCCACTTACAAATGGGACAACTAATTTTTTTAGCACATATAGGGTTCATCCTTCTTAATTTTTTGTAGATGTGCACATATATTTTGGTAGATGTGCACATATATTTTTTGTTACTTCTATGTTTGGGACAAAGGGACATTAAGTGGAAGATGCAAGTTAATGTGCACTTGTCATTGAATGTTGTAAAGAACTTGTTCCTGTGAAAGAAATCAGAACTTGTCACTTCTTGTTATTTTGCATAGTTAAGTTGTCATTTGCTTTTGTGCACTTGTAATTTCATGTTCATCAGAAGTGGTTGCTGTCAGAAATGTGCAAAGTGTAATTCCATGTTTATCAGAAGTGGTTGCTGTCAGAAAATGAAATGTGTCAAAACCTTATAGAAACTTGTCATGTGGCATAGTAAAGTTGTCATTTGGCAATATCAAGTTGTCATTTCGTGTTTATCAGAAGTGGTTGCTGTCAGAAATGTGCAAAGTGTAATTCCATGTTTATCAGAAGTGGTTGCTGTCAGAAAACGAAATGTGTCAAAACCTTATAGAAACTTGTCATGTGGCATAGTAAAGTTGTCATTTGGCAATATCAAGTTGTCATTTCGTGTTTATCAGAAGTGGTTGCTGTCAGAAATGTGCAAAGTGTAATTCCATGTTTATCAGAAGTGGTTGCTGTCAGAAAATGAAATGTGTCAAAACCTTATAGAAACTTGTCATGTGGCATAGTAAAGTTGTCATTTGGCAATATCAAGTTGTCATTTCGTGTTTATCAGTAGTGGTTGCTCTTGGAAATGTGCAATGTAATCACTGTCTTCAAAAGTATGAAAATGTATTAAAACCTTATGGGAAATTGTCATTTTCCATAGTAAACTTGTCATTTCCCTTTCTGAAGTTGTAACTTTGTGTTCACCATAGTGGAAATCCAGTCGTTTCATGAAAACATTATTCGAACTTGTACTTTTCGGTAGTGAACTTGTCACTTTCGTTTGTGAACTTGTCATTCTATGATTATTGTAAGTGGGAATCTACTAATGTCAACAAAGAATCTTGGTTTCATGAAAACTTTATCGGAACTTGTAAATTTCCCAAGTCAACTTGTCAATTTCCTTAGTGAACTTGTCATTCCGTGATTATCACAAGTGGGAATCCACTCATCTTAACAGACAATCTCGGTTTCATGAAAACTTTATCGGAACTTGTAACTTTCTCAAGTCAACTTGTTAATTTCCTTAGTGAACTTGTCATTCCGTGATTATCACAAGTGGGAATCCACTCATCTCAACAGACAATCTCGGTTTCATGAAAACTTTATCGGAACTTGTAACTTTCTCAAGTCAACTTGTCAATTTCCTTAGTGAACTTGTCATTCCGTGATTATCATAAGTGGAAATCCACTCATCTCAACAGACAATCTCGGTTTTATGAAAACCTTATCGGAACTTGTAAGTTTCGCTAGTCAAACTTGTCAATTTCCTTAGTGAACCTATCATTCATCATAAGTGGAATTTCACTAATTGGAACAAAAATTTTCCTTTGCATGAAAACATCTTGGGAACTAGTGATTTGGCATTGTCAGCTTGTCATTTTCCTTTGTCAACCTCTCATTCCGTGAATCAATGTGCAAATTTAGCCACCTTTAATATAGAATCACAAATTTGTATGAAAACCTTTTCACAAGTTGTCATTGGCCATAATGAACTTGTCGTTGCCTATACTAAACTTGTCATTGGCCTGACTAAAGGGAAATTTGTCATTCCAAATATAAGTGCTGTTATACCATCAATCCAACTATATCATAACCATTACAATAATTGGCATACAATTTCAACAAATGAATCCATTGACAAAGTTAGTAAAAGTCACACAGCCTAATTTAAATGCTCTCTATAAAGACGTTCTCCTCTTCTTGGTCATTCGGTCCTTCTCTGGTTGTGAGATAAGATCATACACATTCTGATGGCATTCATTGTCATCATGGTTCACTAGCCACCACATCAGCTCGCGCCGAAAAGAGGACACATCAGCCTGCACAGTAAGTTTACCACCAAACAAGTCACATGTGGTCACTCTTGATTGCACAATAAATAAGGTAATGTCAATACCTCGGTATATTCAAGGGGAACATTAGGCTCCCATTTCCTGAGCCATATGAGCACATGCACACCACAGTCCCTCCTGCCCACAACACCACCTTAACAGTTTCAGCTCCTCAAACCAACACAGCCAAATAACATATCACATGAGTAGGGTATAGACACTCACAAATTATTGCCAAATAACATATCACATGAGTAGGGTGTAGACACTCACAAATTATTCTGCTGTGGTACATCAGGCCAGACAATTTCCAAGTTATCACTAAAATATGGTTTGACCATGTGAAGTATGTCTTCAAACCGATCCCTCTGCACATATGCCATATTCATCAAAAGGATAATAATATAAAACTGTCATTTCCCTATCTAACATGCACAGGTCAGTAACATCTTACACATCCGGTGATGGCCATTTCTTGGGGGTCATATGTGGCTGCCTTCTTCTGCTTGGAGGTGGGTCTTCTTACACTGTAAACTTCCTTGCATAGAATCAAGGACATTGAACTTCTGGGTCTTTAGTTCGAATGCAAAACAGAACTAATACTCCCCAACTAGAGCAGGACCCAAAATCACGTCACAGTCACCTATGTTGTAGCCAACATAATGCGGAAGTATTTGTCGTGCATGCTAGTTAGGATCCCAACGAGCTGGATCACGGGTCATTATGGCCTGTGAAATGCAGAAAACCAAGTTGTTATTCACTGTAACACACTTTATTCTGTCATTTTCATTTCCAATCTTGTCAATCAACAAAGCCTATTAGTAATACAGAAACCTCACCATGAAGTCTGTATCAAATATATGCCTCCTAACTCAGCCTTCAACTGCCTGCTGCTCTTGCACCAAAACCTTACAGACCAACGACATCACTCGGTTACTCACCTTGTTATTTCCACCAAGCGAATGCAGCAATCGTCGGGGGATGTCTTCATCGAACATTCTGATCAAAGGACTGAAACATATTCAAGTGAGTTACTATATGTGTTATGTTAACATATAGTCAACAAATAACATCACATAAGCAAAGATTTTCACTTACATCTCACCCTCATCACCTTTGATAGCTCAGCTGATTAAGTTGAAAAAAATATCCTCGGGCTCCATAGGCCTCTTCACTCTTGATTGTGCCTTCAACTCCAACATATTCAACAATGGCCAGGGGGGATACCTCTATCGGTGAGTGACCTTCTGCCTCATCACCTTTAATGGTGGGTGACACTTCCCTAGGGGGACTGGTTGCAGGTATGTCACCCTCTGCATCATCACCTACAATATTGCCTGCCACTTCCATAGGGGAACTAGTTGTGGGTATTGCACTCCCCATCACAAGTGGTTGCTTGTCATCACCCTCCCCATCACCCTTGTGTTTCCTCTCCCCTTCGCTCCTGTCATCACCATCCCCTTGACCCTCTTCCTCCATCTCTTTATTGTCGCTGTCATTCTCTGTGTCACCCTTTCCATGACTGTCTCCATCTTCACTGCTTACTTCATCCTTCTCCTTTTCCTCAGTTGTGTCATCATTGTTGCGCCTTTCCTCCTTATCATCTTCAGAGTCACTTATATTTGTAGGAACTATCTCAACCGAGCCTTTCCTCTTGATTTACCCTTCCTACCATCTCCCTGTCTTGGGATTTGCACCTTCACCAACTCCTCATCCACCATTTTCATTAGCATCTTTTGCCCTTCCTCTATCCTCTTCATTAGGCGCTCACGTAACTTCTTCAGCTCCTGCATGTAAAAGACATTAATCAAGTAAGTATATACAACAACAAGTTCACTATGGGAAATGACACCTCCACTATGACATATTGACAAGTTCAGTAAACCAGATTACAATTCAGGTATGGCAGATCACAAGTTCATTATACAGAATTACAAGTTCAGTAAACAAAATCACAACTTAGGTATGGCAGATCACAAGTTTATTATACCGAATGACAATCTCAATAAACCAAATTACAATTCAGGTATGGCAGATCACAAGTTCATTATACAAAATTACAAGTTTAGTAAACAAAATCATAACTTAGGTATGACAGATGACAAGTTCAGTAAATAAAATCACAACTCACGTATGACAGATGACAAGTTCATTAAACCGAATGACAAGTTCAGTAAACCATATCACAACTCGCGTATGGCAGATGACAAGTTCATTATACCGAATGACAACTTCAGTAAACCAAATTACAATTCAGGTATGGTAGATCACAAGTTCATTATAGAGAATTACAAGTTCAGTAAACAAAATCACAACTTAGGTATGATAGATGACAAGTTCATTATACCGAATGACAAGTTCAATAAACAAAATCATAACTCACGTATGGCAGATGACAAGTTCATTATACCAAATAACAAGTTCAGTAAACAAAATCACAACTTAGGTATGGCAGATGACAAGTTCATTATACCGAATGACAACTTCAGTAAACGAAATTACAATTCAGGTATGGTAGATCACAAGTTCATTATACAGAATTACAAGTTCAGTAAACAAAATCACAACTTAGGTATGACAGATGATAAGTTCATTATACCGAATGACAAGTTCAGTAAACAAAATCACAACTCACGTATGGCAGATGACAAGTTCATTATACCGAATGACAAGTTCAGTAAACCATATCACAACTCGCATATGGCAGATGACAAGTTCATTATACTGAATGACAACTTCAGTAAACCAAATTACAATTCAGGTATGGTAGATCACAAGTTCATTATACAGAATGACAAGTTCAGTAAATAAAATCACAACTCACGTATGGCAGATGACAAGTTCATTATACCAAATGACAAGTTCAGTAAACAAAATCACAACTCAAGTATGGCAGATGACAAGTTCATTATACCGAATGACAAGTTCAGTAAACTATATCACAACTCGCGTATGGCAGATGACAAGTTCATTATACCGAATGACAACTTCAGTAAACCAAATTACAATTTAGGTATGGTAGATCACAAGTTCATTATACAGAATTACAAGTTCAGTAAACCATATCACAACTCACGTATGATAGATGACAAGTTCATTATACCGAATGACAAGTTCAATATACAAAATCACAAGTCAGTCTACCCATTGATAAGTTCAATATGGCCAATCACAGCATAAGTATTGCGAATAACAACTTAAGTTTGCCAAATTACAACTTAACAATGACAAAGCTCTATGTCACTATAGCAAATCAGAACTTAAGTATAGGAAATGACAAAATACTACGATAGATAACAAGTTCAGGTTACGAAATAAAAACTTCAGTTTACCAATTATACCACATACCGGGTCCAAAAACTCTACAATTATCCTCTCTTCTTTTCCTGTCACAGTTTTACTGCCTTTTCCTCAATACATAATTCCCCTAACACTTCCTCTCCTTGCTGGCCAATTCTTTTATCTTCTCATCAGTCCAGTATTCAATTGCAGTAGTGGACTCTCGACCAACAGGCGTGTTGAGGTTAAAATTCTCACAAAAAAAAAGCTGCAAGCCAGGCATATATATACAACATTAACGTTATGCACATCGGTAATCAAATGCAAACACAATGACAAACAAAATAGTAATACCAAAAGTAAGTATATGTAGCCACCAACAGTGCTGCACCCCTGCCCTTTATTAACTCGCCTGTACCCTTTGACACAGTCTCCCATTTCTTTCCAGAGGTCCTTTATAATATAGGTAGCCCAATCATAATTTCCAAAGTCATCCATTGTGCAGCGCATGACTCTAACCAACTTCTCACCCACTGTGACGAATTCCTAGCAGTTGCTCAACATCTTCTGCTCCTATTTCCTCTGATTTTCCCCTGATTGTAAATTGATGCATTGGCGGGTCATATGATCTCAGGATGGTTACAATGAGATCACGGGGTAGTCTCTTTAATCCAACCTTCAACAGCCTCCCA